ATTTAATACGAAACAGTAATGAAAATAACACTTAGCACTTAAGTATTAACATTTAGCACATTACATTAAAAATACATAAATAAATAAATAATAAATCGTAATAAATTACAACATTTATACATTTATTATGACATTTTATTTTACAATAAAATACGACAATAAATAAATTACGACATTTATAAGATATTTATTAAGACATTTATTTTACAATAAAATGTCTTGCCATTGTTAAACTGCTGTATACTGGTAATTTTAAACGCCCTTTATTTTTACAATATATTTTAATTCTAAAAGTAATAAATCGTTTCATAATCTTATACGAAATATTATGACAATTTTTAAGAGGCTTACAGCTTATATGTGTCATCTTACTGATATAAAACTGGATTAAATCGCATTTTATAGTTTTTAAATAAGGCATATATCGTCGAAAAGTAACTTCTATTTCATAAAAGTAGTTGAAAATTTCGTCGTTTACAAAGAACAATGTGTTTTTTTTATAACATTTCAGATATACCAATTTAGAAAATGTTATAGTGGAATCATATTGTTTTGATCCTGCAGATTCTATACAATCTTTACAAATGACATTATTTTTAAAAATTTTGAACAAAATACAACCACTTAAATAATACAACGAGTTCATTTCTAAATTGTCGAGATTAATAACTCTGTTTTCAACTTCATGTGAAATTACAGGTATTTTTTGAAGCACTTGACACTTACATCAGTTTTACAAATACGTTTCTTTAAGGAGAAATGAGAGGTCAGGACACCGTCATCTTGTTCATAATTAGTGTTTTCCAAAGTTTGTAAATATTGTGAAATACTTAAGATCTTTAAGCTATGCTTAAATTGTAACGCATTTGGTGTTGGAAATTTTTTTCTTACATTAGAAAACACATTTTCTACAAAGTCTTGAGTAAGTCTCCCTCCTAATACAAATATGTACGTATCCACGCTCATTAATTAGGTATTTAGTTAGATCTATGAAAGACTGCGTCGTCAACATGATACCAGCTTGCACAGGTTTAAATTTCTTATCTTTACCAAATTCTATATCACGAAATAAATAATAATGTGTTCTAGAATTTTTTCATTAAATATATTTTCACCATTATTTTCAGCTGTTTTTCCTAACGCAACTTTTACAGTTCGCGATGTAACTAATGTGAACCATTTCGAGACCATTTCAATGAATAAAACTGTTGTTTTATAATCATCTCTATCTTGTTACTCTCTTAAAAAATTTAATGCACTGCTGACATCTCTACTTAACATACTAGTTGCCTTGCCTACTTTCATTTTATTAAAATTTGTAGGTGTAATAACATCTTTATTTAATTTTGGTGCTAGTTTAAACAACAAATTTTCTTGTATGTCAACTAATTCTTGTAAATGACTGAATTGAACAATTTCTGAAGACAAGTTGTTTACTATTCGAAAATGCCCTGGCAACGTAATAACTTTGTTATTAATTAAAGTCGCTCTCAAATTCTTCAAAAGATGTGGAGCGTCAGCAAACAAGTATAACTTTCGCTTGTTATCAATTGGATGACAGATAGAATTATTTATTTTTGCATATTTGCCAGCATAAATATTTGAAAAAGCTTTCCATATTCCTCGATTTACAGGTCCCATATCCGATGTAATACTATGTACATACATACAGTCCAATCGATTCAGCCTTTTCTATTATTTTTTCAATTATAGGTTTTAAGCATGTACCATCAACTGCATTAGGAGTGTAATGATAAGCAACTATCTGTTTCCATCGCGAAAATATACCTCCAAGCACAAAAATCAATCCATGTGTAGCTAAAGGTTTTTCTCCTAGCATAGAAAACGAAAAAAGTATACACAATATAAAGTTAAACAAAAGTAAGTAAGAACAAGTAAGAATAAGTAAGAATAAGTAAGTAAATAAGTAAGAAGTAAGTAAATAATATAAAGTTAAACAGAATTTATATAAATGTACCAGGTTTGTGAATCGTAGCATATCCAATAATACAATTATTTGATGCATCATTCTGTTCACCAGGTACAAGACTTATTTCATCTAACGCTAGCATACAATCTTTTTCTCTATCGTCTTCAAAATGTGATACTTTGTCTTTCAAAATTGTAAAAATGTCATCGCAAATCCCTGGTTGAAAATTAATTGTTTCTATACTCCTCTGAAGTGTACGTATAGAGGGCAAAGGAATATTTTGTTTAAGAAGTTCATTATAGGCGCTTTTAGAACAAAAAAATTTTATCCTAAGCGCTTTTTTTATTGTTTCCTCAGACCATTTATATACTCTCCTTCTAGAAGAACTTGTTTGCAACCATTGGATTTGATCATTATTAAAAATTGTATGTAGTATTTTCCATGATTTTAACACACTTTCTTTAATGCGTACTTCCTTTCGGCTCTTTAATTTTCTTATACACTGAATCTTATACACTTTTAGCGATGACTTTATTGGAAATTTCAAGTTTTTTTATTTGCTTGTTCGAGCTTTCTTTTCAAATCTTCCTTTTCGTTGTCATTTTCTGATTTGGATGTTGCTGCAGTGATATCACATTGAAAAGAGTTTGGAATATTTATTTGTGGAAAATTTTCTACGTTGTCTTTCTCCTTTGTGGCTTCCTCTGATATATTCGAAAGAGGTGTGACATTATTAATTTCTTCCGTGTAGTTTATCTATAAAAAAACATAATTTTTCTGTATACTCTATATCCCACATAATTTTTAAAATAAATAAACACATCATACTGTATAAGTTTTTTCATTCTTTACTCTTTCTTGATTATGAGGAAAAATTGTTGGCACAGCGTTGTGTTTCAATTTCTTTTTCCCATTGTGGCGGCCCTTCCGCCACAATATCAGTAGGCGAGACGCGAGCGCGCCGCCCCTGAGGCGCGAGCGCCGGCGCTAGCCGAGCGCCTGGCGCCTATACCGCCCGGCGGGAGTTACGACCGCCGCCGCGTGAGGGCCACGCGGTCGAGCGTTCGCCCGTGTGCAAGAGTATCCCGCACGGGGATATATACGAAGCAACGAGACCACCCAGCAGATCTTCCTACGCAGTGAAGAGGAGCTCTCAGGGCCTCTAACTAGTGTGGAGTTGATCCAACGTACCTCCAGAGCGTGCCTGTGGTAAAACACAAGGCCTCTGACGTTCAGAGTGCGCCTTCTTACAGGCCTCTAGGGCGAGCACATTTTTCAGGCCTCGGTCTTACAGTGCAAACCACTGCACTACGAGGGTAAGCTCTCTCGGGAGCCCTCCATCGCCTTCATCGACCGCAGGGACATAGGAGCCGCCAGACTGCCGCGACGACGGAAACGGGGCCCTCCAGGTCCTCCGGGCATCCTGACCGCGAGGAAGGGTGTCGCATACCAGCCGCAGCGACAACCAGCACGGCCGACGGACCCCCCTGTTACGGAGAGACCACTGGACGCAGGGATCTCCTTTCTCCCTTGGCAGCTGACGCTGCTGGAGGGCAGCCCGGAGAAGGCTCCCCGGGATCCTCGGAGGCAACGAGTGTCCACCAGGTCGACGGCCACGCAGACCGACGAGCAACCTCTGCCGCAGCCAGTGACATCGGCATCGGTGGCAAGCCAGGCCGGCCTGCCATTGAGATCTCCGCCGCGGCCATCTCCGCCGCCTGAGCTTATCAGCCCGCTGCCCAGGACGCCGAGGAAGCGCCCCCGAACACCGGGGCGCCTGAGCAAGGCCAAGCGCCTACAACTGAGGGAACTCTTTGGGTCCGACTCATCGGAAGAGTAAATCCCTCCTGCGGGTGCCGAAAGGCACCCCACAAAAATCCTCCACAAACGGGCGCCGAAAGGCACCCTGAAGTCTTTGCACGGACCCTATGTGAATCTAGCGCATCACGCCCAAATATTATTAACTGATGTAAGAGCTGAATAAAGAGCCTTTTATTTTATAATCGGTTCGATATTTATTTGTGGACCTAAGCGATCCTCCGATCCCCATAGCGATCCTGCGATCTCCTACCGTAGTTAACCACACCCATCAATTCTAGTTTTCTCCCACATAGTATTATCAAAATGGACCTTAAGCAATATCATTACGTATATAAATATTTATCATTGTATCATTTAATTATTTTAATTTATCAATTATATTTGATTGTAATAATTATTACATGATTTACTTCACAAATATGTGAGCTTCGAGCAGGTTGCCAATTTTTACGATTTATTTGTAACACCCATAAGGCCTTCCGTTCTTCATTAGATGGAAAAGGGCGTAGCGAAAAGCCTTTTTCGCTACTATTGTGACATTCAGGCACACAACAACCAGTCATGTTTCCTGCGAAGAAGACATTAAAATTATATGATTGATGACAAGGCTTAGTACAGCGTTTGAATCTCGTGCAACATTTAGGGGCGAAATTTGATTGGTTGCTCCAGTATTCAGTCGCCATTATGCGCAATGGTACACCTTGTATTCTTACATCATGGTTAGAATGTCACTTTCGACCACATAATATCTGTGTCCTTTATATATTTTTCATTCGAACGCTTTATAATTGTGGAGACAGAACAGCGCGCTACGGCACTGTCTCCGAACTGAGTCGGGCGAACACGACTCGGAGCGGACAATTCGAGAAGGCTCGGCGGGCAGGAAAAAGTGTCGTGTAAGATAGACAACGTGGTGTAACAAGCAGAGCGTTTGTGCAAGGATATTACCGTTTATTTTAACAAGAGAAATCCCCTGGCGTTACTCGCGTTCGCGTGAGAGCAAGGATTTCTCAGTGGCGACGAGGATTCTACAACTCACGCAACATAACCTGAAACCACCATGGAACAATATCTCGCAAAGCTCATCAGCGAAATGCAGGCCGATCGCCAGCAGATGCAAATAGCGCTCGCTCAGCAGCAACAACAAAGCGACAGACGTGTCGAACTACTCATCGCGCAGCTCGCGTAGCGAGAGCAAACCGCCGTAATCACACCTGCTGCGACCACAGCCAAGAGCCTCGCCGAACAAATGGTTGTGTTCACCTACGACCCGGACAACAATCTGACATTCGAATCCTGGTACAAACGCTACCAAACAATTTTCACAACAGAGGTAAGTGACTGGCCTACGGCTGCAAAAATTCGACTATTGCTACAAAAATTCTTACAAGCCGACTATCAGCGTTTCGCTGACTCAGTTTTACCTCAAGAGCCAACACAACTCACGCTCGATGACGCCGTTGAGAAACTGAAACGAATGTTCGGCTACCGCGAGACTAAATTTGCAATGCGACACAAATGTTTGAGCTTAAAAAAAGAAGACACCGAAGATTTTACAACATTCGCTGCTCGCATTAACAAGCATGGCGAAAAGTTTGATGTCACTCACTGCACAGCCGATGACTTTTAGGTCTTGCTCTTTGTTAGTGGTTTAAAAAATCCGCAAGACTCGCTAATTCTTGAGAAACTGCTCGCAAAAATCGACGCCACCAGTGTCAAGCTCGAAGCGGCTACCGACGACGCGGGCTGCGCAGCAATTCCGAAGCTCACACTTCAGGATCTCGTCAACGAAGCTGAACGCCTCACCAGCCTGAAACAAGATAAGTCAATAGTCGGTGGAACAATTACAACACCTGGCTCCACGGAGGTCAACGCCGTTCACAAACGCAACAACTATAGCCGCAAATCACGGGACGGCAGGAAGTCGCCAACTTTCGGCAACCGCAGCCTTGATGGCTCAGGATCTCCCAGCAATAAGAACGCATCACAACCACATTCGCCTTGCCGTTACTGCGGAGAAAATCATTGGGAGCGAGAATGCGAATATCGTGACAAGAAATGTACAACTTGCTCAGTTATTGGTCACAAGGCCGGATTTTGCGTTTCAGCCTTCGAAGCTGTCGTCCGTCGCTCAAGATTTGATCGCAAACAGCGCCGAACTTCAGACTCCGGCCTGAAGAACAACATTAACCAAATTATGAAAGGATCTAACGCCAGCCAACGCAAGTTTGTCTCACCAAACATCAACGGAGCACGTGTCCGCCTCCAGATAGATTCAGCGTCGGACATCACCATCATTTCCAAAGACAACTGGGAGAGACTCGGGAAGCCCACACTCAAGCCCTGCACAATCCAACCCGGAAGCGCATCCGGACATTCAATCCGCCTCTGGGGATCTTTCCAGTGCACCATGAGTTTCATTGATAAAACGAAAACCGGAACATGCTACGTTTCAACACGCCTCAATTTACTCGGCATCGACTGGATCGAGCAACTCGGACTGTGGAACGTCCCACTTGCCTCAGTCTGTAATGCTATAACTATAGACTCATCTGCCGACGACATCACAAGCAAGGCTAAGTCAAAATTCCCACAACTTTTTGCTGACGAACTCGGGCTATGTACGAAAACAAAGGTTTCACTCACACTCAAACCGGGCATACAAAAGATTTTCCGCAAACAACGACCAGTTCCATTTGCAGCAACAACCGCTATTGAAGAGGAAATTAAACGTCAACAGCACCTCGGGGTTTACAAGTCAGTCACGTTCTCAGAATTCGCAGCACCCATCGTCGTAGTCAAGAAAAAGAATGGCAAAACGCGCATTTGCGGCGACTATTCCACCGGCCTTAACGACGCACTCGAACCAAACAAATTTCCGCTACCAACACCGGATCAAATTTTCACCGGCCTCGCCGGAAATTGTGTTTTCTCCAAAATCGATCTTTCGGATGCTTTCCTCCAACTCGAGCTCGATGACGCAAAGAAGCTGCTCACAATCAACATACACTTGGGACTCTTCCAGGTCACCCGCATGCAGCCCGGAGTCAAGATAGCACCAGGCATTTTCCAAGAACTCATGACAACGATGCTTGCAGGACTCAACGGCGCCTTTGCATTCATCGACGACATTACCATCAGCGGAATTAACAAAAGCGAACATGACAAGCTCCTTTTCGACGTCCTCGAACGCATCCAAGACTACGGGTTCAAACTTCGAATCGAAAAATGCGAGTTTGCTCGACCAAGTATCCTTTTCTGCGGACACATTATCGACGCGCAAGGTGTCAAGCCAGATCCCGAGAAGATACAAGCCATTCAAACCATTCCAGCACCGCGTGATATCCACCAGCTCCGTTCGTTCCTCGGGGCAGCCAACTATTATGGAAAATTTGTTAAAAACATTAAAGATCTTCGTGGGCCCCTCGACGAGCTCACTCTCAAAGGCGCCAAATTCGAGTGGCAACAAAAGCATCAGGATGCCTTCGACAAACTCAAGGAAATTCTAGCATCGGATCTAGTCCTCACTCATTACGATCCTGCCAAAAAAATCGTGGTCACAGCCGACGCTTCATGCTACGGCAAAGCAGGAGCCATTTTGCACGAATTTTCAGACAGAACACTACATCCAATCATGTACGTCTCATCAACTTTCACAGCAGCCGAAAAGAACTACTCGCAGATTCAGCGGGAAGCCACCGCGCTCGTGTTCGCTGTTAAACGCTTTTACAAGTACATCTATGGTCGCAAATTCGAGCTCCACACCGACCATAAGCATCTCCTCACGATTTTCGGCTCTAAACAAGACATCCCGGCTTAAGCGGGGAGCACAGACTTTTGCATAACGCATAAACCATATACATAAAGAATTTGATTGGTCCATTGACTCATGCATAAGAAAATGGACCAATGAAATTTCTTATGCACATGCTTTATGCGTTATGCAAAAGTCTGTGCTCCCCGCTTTACACTGCAAGCCGCCTCCAACGTTATGCTCTGACCTTACTCGCTTACGACTTCGACATTAAATACGTCAATACCGGAAGCTTTGGATACGCCGACATTGTTTCCCGCCTCATTGCCAAACATCCACGAGAAAACGAAGATACCGTCATCGCAGCAATTCAAGAGGGAGAGGAGGAAGAACAGTGCTTTGCAATTGATGCCGCAAAATCACTTCCGTTCAAATTCACTGATATCCAGGAGGCCACACAGCGTTGCGTAACACTCAAGAAGGTCATCGAATTCACCAACACCTTATGGGCACAGAAACGCAACCAGATCCGGGATCCCGAAGTCGCTGCTTTCTTCGATCAACGCGAAGGATTAATTGTCAGCCAGAATTATCTTTTACAGGGCGATCGTGTCGTTGTTCCATCTCAGTTCCGTAAGCAGATCCTTGAGGAGCTCCACTTTGGTCACCCGGGCTGCACCCGTATGAAGCTCCTTGCTCGCAGCAAAGTCTTCTGGCCCGGAATCACTGCTGACATTGAGCGAACCGTCAAAATGTGCGAAGCTTGCGCGACAAATGCTAGGACGCCCATCAAATGCTCGCTACAACCATGGCCAATTCCAACGAAGCCATGGTCTCGCATCCATGCCGACTACGCGGGTCCCGTCAATGGCGCTTATTATCTAGTCATCGTTGATGCCTTCAGCAACTGGCCAGAGGTCTTCAAATCCGCCTCAATGACATCTGTCAAGACTATCAAAATGTTCAGAGAGACATTCGCTCGGCACGGCCTCTGCGATACGCTCGTCACAGACAACGGACCTCAGTTTACCGCGCAGGAATTCAAAACTTTCTGTGAACAATCAGGCGTTGAACATATCCTAACAGCGCCTTACCACCCTCAGTCAAATGGTAGGGCTGAGCGTTTCGTCGACATCCTCAAGACTGGACTAGAAAAGGCAACCGGGAACGCTGACCAGAAGCTTCGAGAGTTCCTCACTACCTACCGTTTCACACCGTCTTACAAGCTCGGCAATAAGTCCCCGTCCGAGTTATTGAATGGCCGCACCATGAAGACTCGCCTCGACTTGCTTCACCCTCAAGAGCAACCGTCCTCTCAGCGTGACACAATACTGGCCCGTCAGTTTGACCGAGCTCACGGAGCGCGCTGGAAGGAATTCGTAATCGGTGCAAGTATCTACTACCAGCTACACAAAACCAACACAGATTGGCAATGGACGCCAGCGATAATTGTCAACCGTCTAGGCACCGTCAACTATACGATCAAACTTGGAGACGGACGAGTCATCAAAAAGGTACATGCAAATCAGCTCAAATTGCGTCACACACCAAACGAAATCATTGACGCATTTGGCCTCAATGACATCTTAGACACCGACATCGAGCCAATTACACAGGCCCACAAAAAAAAAAATTTTTTGTGCTGGGATCCAGACCATACCAATCAGACGTATTTTGAGCTGCTAAACACGAATCTGCAGTCAAAAATGGGGGTTGCTGGGTGAATTTGAGACATAACCTCAAAAAATCGTTTAAAATTAGTTATTATACCACAAAACGAAAGACTATGACTTTTATCAGGTTGAGAACACATTAATCCCATGTATTTTGATCCGCTTAACATGAATCCGTAAAAAAAAAATATCGGTCGCCCATGAATTTCAGACATAGCCTCAAAAATCGTAAAAAAATATGTTTTTATAGTGACAAAGTGTTAAAAGAATGAATATGACTTTTCTCAGGTGCTAGTGGAATTCTGCGTTGTTTTTCAGAATTATGTTGGGAAAGTCATCACCAGATATATACAGCACAAGGTGTACTTACGTTTCTTATATACCTATCGATAAATGCAAATATGGAATCAAAAATGTAATATACAAAGTGATAGATCAAACATGCGTATTTATGTGAAAAACGATTTACTCGATATTTTTGAGTCTGTGATGTCGAATACGACACTTAAATATTACAATGAATACGAACTCTTAATAGAGTATTTCTTTTTGAACAATCTCAAATCTCAAATCTGGGATTTAAATTGGATTGTGCTTCCTTACACGATTTTTGATTTACTTTTGATTTTACTTGCCTACAAAATATTAAATGAGTTTTTACATTCCCTACATGATAGTATGTTTTAAATTCATTTTCGAGATTTAATTTTTTCTGACTTTTACTACTGACCCATCCGCTGGTTCTAGCTCCTATATTGTTATTGCTTGCTGGCACTCAATTTCAAAGTGAACAGGTCTCCGAAGTCGCGGATTGAAAAGTTTTCTATCCGTGGCGGCCCGACGCGGCGCCTGAAAAAGTGTTGCATTTACATGCGGCGTATGTACATAACGTAATTGCAGCATTTGTAATGTTACATGAAATATCTCTTCCATTCTTTTTTCTTTTGATTACCCGAATATTTCTGTATAACGTGCCATTAGAAGATTATAAAGAATCATATGTTGAACGAAATTTGTCGTATTATTGATATTCACCCAGCAACCCCCATTTTTGACTGCAGATTCGTGTTTAGCAGCTCAAAATACGTCGGATTGGTATGGTCTGGATCCCAGCACAAAAAAATTTTTTTTTTTTGTGGGCCTGTGTTATCATTCCCCGGCCTGAGCCCGAACATCCACAGGCAGCAGCTCATGTGGACTCCGATGATGCCAACACCTCATACGAAAGTGCCCAAGATGAAAGCAGGGAGAACATCGTTACACCCGCTGAACTAGAACCACGCCGATCATCTAGAATCAATGCTGGTGTTCCACCTCAGCGCTTCGGATACGAATAGAGGATTTAGCGGGGAGGAGTGTGGAGACAGAACAGCGCGCTACGGCACTGTTTCCGAACTGAGTCGGGCGCGCACGACTCGGGGCGGACAATTCGAGAAGGCTCGGCGGGCAGGAAAAAGTGTCATGTAAGATAGACAACGTGGTGTAACGAACAGAGCGTTTGTGCAAGGATATTACCGTTTATTTTAACAAGAGGAATCCCCTGGCGTTACTCGCGTTCGCGTGAGAGCAAGGATTTCTCAATAATAATGTATAGACTTACTTATAATTGTGATATTGAAAGAGCTGGGAAAAATATCGGAAAAATATCGGTGCCGGAACTTAAACAGTCTCTCTTTCGTCTCGTCTGCCACCATGACTCTACGCTCTTCGTAGTATAAGATCTAGCGTCCCTTTCTGCTAGAGTCCCAATTAGCCATTTTACTTCAGATTGACACAACTCTCTTATAGGGACTCTAGGCCTAGGTATCGAGTTCAGTTTCCGATTCTCGACACTCGCAGCGCTCGTGAATTTAGTAGTGCTGCGCACAAGAAGACTAGAACCAGGCATAGAGATAGTAGTACTAGAGTACGCATTGTAGGAGTGGGGGTAATCCTATCTAGAAAAATAGAGAGCCTATAATCAGAGTGGCGCCATAAGAAAGATTACGCCATGTTTTAGCGAAATTCTGCGAGAGAGAAAGAGATATAGGCTGCGTTCTGTTTCACACATATGCGCGCATTTTATATAGTGAGCGTCACGTATACTATAGGGAAATAGCTAAAACATGGCGGACCAATCACAAGTGATACCCGTATGGCGCCACTCTGATTATAGGCTCTCTATAGAAAAGGACGCACTCATTTGGGCCTTTTCGTTCTCACTCGTTTCGCGCATGCGTATAGCCATATACTCTGAGAGAGGGGATCGAAAGAAAGAACGAGTCGAACGAGAAAAGTTTCATCATTACATAACCAGACAAGCCTGATTGAGCCTGATCACTTTGGAATCAAACAAAGAATTGAGTTTGATAAGGTTAAGGGCTCTCGATGAATAATATCAATAAATATTAATGATAAAAATCTATTACTTATACCTCTATAATTCCAGTTATGCGAGCATATTGGCCAGCACCACCAGATTGTTTCTTATAAAGATAGTAAAATTCATATGGTTTAGTTAAGTCTCGCGGAAAGAAACTTTTGGCTTTCCAAGAATGACCGGACAAGCCTGATCTCTTTGGAATCAAACAAAGAATTGACTTTGATAAGGTTAAAGGTTTCCCAGTGCCAAGGGTTGCTTTTTCAATTCCTTATTCTTTCTTTCAATCCCCTCTCTCAGAGTATACGGCTATACGCATGCGCGAAACGAGAGAGAACG